TTCCCGAAACCGCTACTTTGGTTTTGCCGACTTTGACATTTATGGCAATACGTAAACACACTTTTTGTTTAGAAACAAGTGCAAACGTATTGTAAACGTATTGTGTACTTTCAGGTGAAAAATCGAAGTAATTCGTGCGTTCTGAAGTAAAAAACGTTTTATTTTTAATAAAAACTTTATAAAAATGTCGTGTCGTGTGTTGAATTGCAGCAGCCGTAGGGGTAAAGCCCCCAAATGCAGTTTTTTTTTGTTTCCCCGCGACGCCGCCTTGGCCAGAAAGTGGGTAGAGTTCTGCCGGCAGGAGAAGCCATACAATTTAGACACCAGCGTAATATGCATGAAGCACTTTACGGACCACTTTTAAACACGACATGTTAAGTTGAAAACGTTGAAATACCACAAATTACAAACTAAAATCGGAGGTAAGCAAGCATCGACCACTTTCTGCAGGAAAACATGTGCTGCGACAAGATATTATCACTTTTTCCGCACCTGCAATACAAACACAAAAATTCTAAATAGTTAATTAATAAGACCTATTCTTTTGAACACATTTCAAGAGTGGTTGTATATTTTTTGTTAACGTTGTGCTTAACTTGCTATATTCAAAGATGGCTTGAGAAATTGGTGAATCGAGAAGAAAACACGTTTTCTCACTGCAAATTCACAACTGTCAACTCATTGTTCTTCGCCATATTCTTTGTTTACCCGTTGCCACAAATGTCATTCTGCGGGAATGCGCAATCTTGTATTCTATCGTTCTTGGCATGGTACATAATTGGATCTGAATTATCAACAAATGAGGTAGTTCGCTCTCAAAATTTTGTATGGCGAACTACGTAATTTGAATGGTAATTGGAGTGCGAATTACGAATGAGAGAGCGAACTACGTAATTGGGGTGGCGTGGGAAAGCCGTGTAAAATGTTATGGGCTGTTTTTGCTTACGCGTAAAAGCACATTTAGCGCATTTAGCTCTAAATGCTACTCTAAATGTACATTTATCCATACAAAATTCGTCACCTAAATGCAACTAAATGCAACTCCATTTTTGCATTAAGAATCTAAATGCTAAAAGCAACCCTGTGATCTTCCAAAATTTCCACGATTCGAACATGGTTTAATGAGAAAAAGTGGCAACATTGCATTTTCGAGTATACAGTGGCTAGCTGCATTTCAGTGATCGCCGATCGAGATTTCAATTATTATTTTACATTATTTGGATAAAGAAAAGTTAAGAAAATTCAATATCGATGTGATGCTGATAGAAATCTGGATCAATTTGTGATCAATTCTGTTTGTTTTGTTTCCTAATTAAGTGAAGAAATTTTAATTGACAGCACCGACAAATGAATAAAACAAAAACAAATGGTCGGTCATGGTTAAAACAATTCAAATTTTTGTATTGAAGTTTTGGTTTAAAATTTATTTTTTCCTTTTCAGTAGGGTTTTTGCACATTATCTTTTCCGTGAGAATTTATCGTAATAGATACGGATCTGAATAAGCGACTGGAACACGGCTGTTTGTCAAAAGCATACGATTTCGAACTCGCGTAAATGTACATTTGCTAAATGCGGTAGCATGAACGCTCTTCGAAAACATATGTTCGAAAGTGCTAAATGTTGCATTTTAAATGCAGCAAAAACGCTGCATTAATCTACAATGGAGTGAAAAAAAGGAAATGGTTTTCAGGAGCTAGTTAGTTACATTGTTTGCTTGAAAATGACATGTTGATAATGAAATTGCTTCTCAAATTGAATGCAGCCTACGTAATGGCTTTCAATTTTTATGATTTTTGACAAGCAATGTGTGTGAGAAAATTAAAAGACAAAACTGATTGTGTGTCGTCAGCGTTAGATGCGTATAAATGTGCCCATGGGGATGGGGTAATTCGCGATCGTTATTGGGAGAGCGAACAAAGTAATTCAGGATGGCGCACGGTGCAGTGAACAAAGGTGGCGCCGTCAGTGGTACCGCTACTTTGGTTTTGCCGATTTTGACAGTTGTGGCAACTTGTAAATAAACCTTTGTTTACAAATCAGTGAAGGAGAAATTTTAATTAGAAGTGAAAAATCAGTTTAAATTGTGTTAATTTGCAATTTGTGAGTGATTTTTGAGTTGGAGACTGCGTAAAAACTAATACAATGAAGTGCTGTGTGTTAAATTGCGACAGCCGTCAAGATGCAAGAAGCGTAGATGCAGCTGTAGCGCTGGGATGATTCGCTGCATTTTGGGTACATAGGGGACGGCAAAGCCGTTCCCGAAATGTTTCTCTATTATTATATAACCAGCATTTCCTCAGAATAATTTTGCTTCTGCTCCAAGCAGCCTCCATTAGCAAGTTAACTAATCAATCCCGGAAGTGAAGAGAAGCGATTTCAAACGAATTGTAACCGATTGCTTATTCAAAAATACATTTAAAGTTAATTTTAACCAAGTTTTTACTCATGCCTTCGTGGATTTCGCTCCACTTTTTCACTTCCTCAAAGCAAGAGTCAAATAAATCTAATAGGAGTGTAAAATGTGCACCAAGTAAACAACCAACAATTATGTTAATTTTGAAATTGCTTGAATTTTTCGATAATTATACAACTTACTTCAAGTTTTTTTTACGTATTCAACAATAATAAATAAAAATAACTACTGCCTTCCTGAAAAACCAAATTTTGTAATTTAAAAAACTCACATTTATTAAAATATTGTCTAAATTTTATAACAAAGTTAATTAAACTCACTTATTACCGGTCAATTAAAAATAAAATCTTTAATTTTTTTCGGTTTGCAGTTGCGGATCTCGCCATTAGCGTTACTTTGATTAAACTAAATTTTGTTAAATAGTTAAATTTTTTATTTATTTTTTGTAAATGTTGTAAAAAGCGACGGTTAACAACGAAAACATTCAAATCGGTTCGGAGAAAAGCATAACATCAGTATATCCAGTATAAAAAAACCATGGTGAAGTCCTTTATGGAGATAAAGTTCCCAGAGGTGAAATTTTAGGTAGCACACAATTTCTTACACGCACGGTTGCTCTTCAGCACTGATGAAATAAACTTTAGAATTTATTAGAACAAACCCTGGGATTCAGTAATTCAGTCTCATCTCAAGTCACCAAATTTGAGATTAGCAATTAGTGACTATTTTGGTGACTTTAGATGATTTGGGGTATTCAGGAGGAGAGTCACAAAAAGTTCACCAAAAATGTGTGGTGAAAACAAACACAGACAGTGAACTGATAGCGTTTGTGTATGCCTCGCAATGGCCGAGTGGTCTAAGCATTAGGCTGCCGGTGGAGAGGTTCCGGGTTCGAATCCTCCTCCGGCGTAGAGGATTTTTTTTTTTATTTAGCATTTTTTATTGGTTTTATTTTTTTTTTTTAATAATCATTAGATTTTAATGTTTTAAAAACGAAAAAAAAAATTTTTTTTCAATGGATTTGTATGTATAATATTAAAGCATTTTGGTTTATTTCCTAATGAAATTGTTGTTGAACAAATTTCCCCGCTTCATACAACATACAACATGCACCCTACAACGATTTTTAACAAAACGTATTCAAAGTAGAGCTCTTCAAGAATATTTTTTTAGTTATAAAAAGTTTATTGATGAAATACAATATATAAAAGTAATAATGGTCCTTGGTCTTATTCTACTCTTTCGATTCATATACTTTTAAAGGTATTTTAATGGTTTTATGTTATACCAGCAAAAATTCAAATGGCGAGTTTAATGAGAAGAAAAAAAGTTCGACTTTCACAAAGAACTTGAAAGTAGTTGTAGAATGAGTTTTTGTATATAGTAGAAGATCCGAATAGGGCACGAACTTCAGCTATCTGTTTAATGGATGGAATGTATTTTGTAAATTTTTAACGTGTGAGGAAATATTTCGGAAGTGAGTTGGCTGGAAAAGTCCTGGCCAGTATATTTTTGATTAAATATTCAAAAATTATTATTTTTTCTAATTTTGCACTCATTTGTTAAATGGACAAATTACATATATACTAATCGAAAGCATAAAGCCTATAGAATGTGTTAAACAAATGAGTATTACTTACCTGTTCATATCTACCAGCCCGATAGGTAAGCCAGAAAAAAATAGACAACCCAACGTTTTCACATTATATAGGCTGCATACTTTCGATTGGTATATAATTTGTACATTAAAAAAATTAGTGCAAAATTAAAAAAAATATATATATTTTTGAATATTTAATTTAAAATATATGGGTCAGGATTTTTTCAGCCAACCCACTCGCGAAACATTTACTAACACGTTAAATTTTATACAAAATAGATTTCATTTATTAAACAAATGGGTGAAGCTGGGTAATAGAAGCTCACAAAGAATGATTTATTTTCATTTGACACTTCTAGTAGGCGTATATCGTTACTTTAAAATATAGGAAGGCGCTAACTCAATCAAATTTAGCTCTCTTTGTAGCCGACTATATAGATGGCAGTGTGGAAGATCGACCTATCTCGGCAGCCAGTTCGAAAACGCCCTATCTCAAAAAATTTTTCAACAACGTCCTATTTCTGAATTTGGTTGAAGAGCGCCCTATTTTAAAATTTGATTGAAAAAGACCCTATCTCAGAATTCGGTTCAAAAACGCCGTATCCCATCACATTTTCAATAGGAGTATTCTCGAAATCTTGCAAAGTGTTTGCACGTAGCACAGATTGCATAACTTGCAAATACACAACAACAAAATACATGGGAAACATCATTTTCTATCGCTGCAGAATGTGCAACGTCGAAACCCATGTATATATTTTGCAAAAAAGCATAGCAAGATAAATGCGACTCTTTGCTAGTTGTTTTGTTGTTGGAATTGCTACATATTTCTCTCATTCCTTTAATTTCGCTCACTTTATTTTTTTTTTTGCTGTATGTTGGTATTGTATTTGATACAGAAATTCGCTGTTCTCTACCAATGCATGCTACTATTTTGCAATAAGCTCTCGTACTCTTCGAAATTTGAAATAGTATTTTTGCATTTGATATATTCCGTGCTACGTGCAAGACTTCGAGAATAACCCTAATGTATTTTCGTTTGAGATAGGGCGTTTTTGAACTGAATTCTGAGATAGGGCGTTCTTCCACCAAATTCACAGATAGGGTGTTTTCCAATAAAATTCTGAAATAGGGCGTTCTCAATCAAATTCTGAGGTAGGGCATTCTTGAAAAGTTTTCTGAGATAGTCCGTCTTCGAAGTGGCTGCCGAGATAAGTCGATCTTCCACTCAGCCATCGATATGTAATGTTAAAAAAGATTTAAAAAAATTCCTTCAATACGATTTCGAATATCTATTATTTATTTGAAATTCCTGTCGCAGTTCAAAAGGGAGAACTATCAAAATCACTTCTACTTTGTTGGATATGTTTACTATATATTTACAAAACGCATTTTACAAACAAACATATTTTAAGATAATAGAAACCATTAAACTAAAATACATATTCAAGATAAGGTGAAAATTAAAAGTTGCGTTAGCAACATAAATACATTGATCTCTGGTAAGTCTTCAACTAAGTACTTTGTAAATTCCCTTATCTCTTATTCACATTGAAGTAAAGCTTTAGGCACAACATAACACATGTATTCACCAGCTTCAGGTATTGGTTTCTTTTCGACCCATTCATCACATTCGGCATAGTAAACTGCCACGGACTTTGAGTTCCAGCCTCCGACAGCCCATAGTTGATCACCTACAAAAACACAACCCATGCCACTACGTCCAACGTTCAAAGAGCACATCTATGAAAAGTAATAAAAAATTGTATTTTGGCGTTTTTAAACTTTTGGTGTAACTATTTCAACAAACCTTTGTCCATTTGTTACTTTGAGGATCATAACGCTCGACTGTTTTATCTTCTGGATATCCACCTAAAACGTATATGCATCCATTGTGTACGGCTACCTAAAATGTGAAGTTTTATGCACACATTAGGACAAATCGACCTTTGATTATGATTTTATCGTAAGCGACAAAAGGTAAATTTTACAGGAGAGGTTTTGTCGTAGAATACGTCTTACGTTTCGATATGCACGCTATGCTCAAATGTTGTAGTTGTAATTTTTAGAGCTTCACGAAAACGCTTAATGCACGAGAACTAGTGAAGCGATTTCAAAGAAACGTGTGGCGTTTCAAAGACAAATGTCCAAACCTATCGACAGATACCTTGTAAGTACCCAACGGGACTGAAAGGTAGCTGCTCCCAAAGGAGCAAGTAGGGAGCAGAATGTTAAAAACATAGTAAGGTAAAACCGTAAAATCTTATAAAATTGAGAGCAAAAAAAATTAATTGTTCGAAGTTGTTGTTTGGGATTGAAAATGAGAATGTGTGTGTGAATTTGTGTGTAAAATTTTAAAATTAAATTGCTTGCAAACGTCAAGAATTTGTTGACAAAAGCAAAGTAAAAAATAATCTTAAATTTCTAGCAATGCTCAGAAATAAATATCATTTTGAGTAGCAACATAAAATATTTTCTTTTGAAAAATAGTTAATTTATGTACAAACTTGTATGTATGTATGTATGTATTTTCGTATGTATACCACATAGAAAAGAAAAACAATAAGTACACTTAATAAAGCTTTCAACTGGTTCACAAAAACGCCATTCTTTTATTAAAACAAAGATATAATATGAAAATTAAAATTTGCATGCATCCCTTTTTAAATGCTTTAGTTGAAGCGCTCACCAAGGGCTTTTTTGGGAGCAGCAAGGGAGCGCTTCTTTCTAATGACACCCAATGTTAAAATACAATGAAGTGTGAAATTAGGAAGGGGGCGCTCACTGCTGAATATGCAGCGCTCCAATAGCACTAATGGAGCGCTTCCGGCCCCGTTGGGTAACCAATTCGGTGTCTGTCGTAGAAACAACGGTAAATATTGGCTTACTTTGGGATCAATTTTGAGCCTTTAAAGTGCTATAGAAACTTATGCTTTGCAGATATAACTTTTATTTTCGGTATATAGGTTCTTTGGAGCAATTGAAATATTATCGTGTACAAACCTTATATAAATTCAACAAACATTGAGCATTTTTTGTTGAAAAAATTAGCAATTTTTTTAATGCCAAAATGCTCGAAAACCGCTCGAATGATTTTGTTTTCAAGGTTTTTCCCTTCGTTTGGTATATGGTAAGTATTTGTTGATATCTTCTAGATATGTTTATTTTATTCAAATATATGCGCATAAATGATTTTCCATACAAAAGCACTTGGTCGGCATTTTGCAAACTCGCGCATGCATTGTGAGAGAAGGAGACAAAAAGTATGTGTGTCTTTCGGCTTTTGAGTAACAGATGTCGCATTATGTAAATACATACATACGTACATATGTTGATTGCAGTTAATGTGGATCTGTTTTTCTTTTAGTATCATCTGTATGTATGTATGTACATATGAATGCATAATACGCGAAAAAAACTTTCGTACCATCAGATCTGTACTGTAGGCGCTGGACTGATCCTTTTGTTAATTCTCCATTAAACAGTGCAAAAATTAAAAATTGGATTTAAATGAACAATAACATTACTGAATGTGAGCTTCCTAATGGGACTTTTTATTTTTTGCATACCTTATTTTCTAAAGGTAAAATGGCGCTTACGATATTTTTCCTGAACATGCTGAGAGGAAAGTTATCAAAGAATTGGCGCTTGCGATAGTTTTTATGTTGTATAATTTGGATATCTATAAACGAAGGATTGCCGGTACTTTCAGGATTTTTTGAAAAAAACTGAATTTTAAGTCAATTAAATATAAACATTGTCAATCAGCAGAATAAGCTCAACATATTTTCAACTTTAACTGTTTGGTGCATCTACTAGATTGTCCACAAGTTGTCTTTGTGAATGCAGAGTTTAGCTCATTCAATTCTCTACAAACTAAAACGACCACATTGGCGCTACTATTTGGTATTTTTTCACGTCTTTTTTTAAAGAATCAGAAAAAAGTAAAACTTAATCCTTGACTAGAATACGTTCAGTGCCAAAATCTTCATATTAGGGAGATTTTCGGCAAGTTTCGAAATCTGTTGTTATATTCCTCGACTCGTCGTGCGTTTTAAACCTACGAAAACTTTTAATCAAATACTGAAATTTTATATAAAAAAAGACTGAAGTGCAAATGTTATGATAAGCAAAAGTGATAAATCAAAATCTGATCAGCAATTTGAAAGGAGATAAACGGTAAAATGAAATAATTTCGAAAGTGTGAATCCATAAGGCCGTATAAGCTGGTGTTAAAATGGCAATTTCGAATTCAGTTCCAATTTTTCCTATACCAGTGCATACAATAGGAATATAAGCACCGTTAGGTGTTTGTTTTTCAACTTTCTGGTACGCTTTTAAATCTTATAACCCATTGACAAAGCACGAGTTTCAAAAAAGACCCCGCTAGACGAGCCACGCTGCACTTAGTGATTGCAGCTGCACCTAATTTTGGTGAGGGAAAGAAGCTGATTTTTTTGCATTCAGTTGTAGCAAGTGCCGATGGAACTTTAGTTAAAAGTACAGTTCGAACAGCTATTTACAATAAAGTTGTGTACACACAGTGTCGCTTGCGATAAAATTGTAGTAACACAAATGTGCAAACAAAGCAAACGATAAAATTCATTTTGCTTTTTTCCGTAACAGTAAATATTCAGTTTGTGAAAAAATTATATATTAAAGAATTGGGTATTATTATTGGCCAGGGACGTGAACAGGATGAAAATTTTGGTCGGTTCGGTTCAGCGGTTGGAACCGTTTTTGCACTTTTGGATTGGTTCGTCAAAGCGGTTTTTTTGGTCTTTGAACCGGGGGTTCGGTTCGGTTCAACGGTTCGAAAAACAAAAAAAAAATAACGCGCAAGTTTAAGTGTCAAGTGCAACAACGCGCAAGGTTAAGCGGTCTGTGAAATGAGATGGGTAGGCAACCCATTGATATTCTCACATGGTAAAAAAAAATGGTAGGTATTACCATGTTTAACAAAAACAAAAAATAGTGGGTACATTTATCTATTTAAAATTGGTTGAAACGAACCTTTAAACCTTTATGGGAAGTGGTTCGGTTTTCGGTTCGGATCAAACATTTGTGGAAAATTTCGGTTCGGTTAATGGTTCAGTTAATTAATAGAAAAAAGCGGTTTTCCGGTTCAAAACCGGTTCGGTTCAAACCCGGTTCACGTCCCTGTTATTGGTTATTGAAGAGAAACGAAGTTTTCCGACCAAAAAATATTGATTTTCAAAAATTCTATACCATTTCTACGAAAACTTTTTTTATTCGCTTTGAACGACCTCTAAATATTTTTTGATTTCAAAATAAAAGAAAAAACAGGGGTATAATTTTTCGGTATAGAACAATCCTAATCCAAAATGTCGACTTAACTTTTTTTTGGACCATCCTAATGTACATATACCTACATATGAATTTATGCTCAAATTACATCTACTTACTTTTAATGTTTTACTTTTTAGTTGTTTTGTATAGTTCTAACATAATTTTTATTAAAGCGATGTCTCCTTCTATATACTTTTTCGAATATTTTGTCCGAAAAAGTAAGAGAAAACTTATAAAATGAATAAATAAATACTCGATACATTCAACGGATATAAAAGTAAAAATACAAACTTCTGTTTGAAATACGAGACTCTTAGGTGAGGCGGAGCTTGAGGGAAACTATCGTAACATCCGCTAACATAAGTTTCTGGGTCGCGTGGGATCGTTTATTTTCATATACATATGCATGTACAGGGTGGGCCAAATAATACCTACCAATGTTAAACACGTTTAACTTGTTTATTTTTTAATATTATTCTTATATTCTTTCTGCATGTTATAGTTAATCTCTTGGAAAATCATAATGGATACTTATAGCAAGACCACCAACAACGACTACAATACGCTATTCATTTTATACAATTAGACACACAAATTGATTTTTTAGGTAATGTTTTGATGTCGGATGAAGCGCATTTCCAAGAAAAATTGTAGATGGTGGGGCTCTGAAAATTCAAGGGCAACACACCAGCACCAGGTACACCCATCCAGTTGCATTGTTTGGTGCGAAACGCCAGAAACGATTTCTGGGACTTACAGAACAATGATTGACAACTTTTTGCGGCCAACGGTAGAGCAGCATCTTAATTTGTGGTTCCAACAAGATGGAGCGACTGCGCACACTGCTAGGCAAACTATGAACCTATGAACTATGGATGGTAGGTCTTATTTGGCCCACCCTGTACTTGTACGTAAATACATACATAAATTTGTATAATTTGATGTTTCCTTTCTGTACTTACCCCAGGGAAATCATAAGCTTCATTCATATCCTTGCACTGTGTCCAAATATTCGAAGATGGGTCGTAACATTCAACAGATTTTAAATCGATTCCATTCCAGCCTCCCATAACAAAAATTTTGTCATTCAAAGCCACTGCACCAGCTTGCCTTCGTGGCGTAATCATGCTGCTAACAAATTTCCATTCACTACCGGGTGAATACCTAAAAACGGGTTGGTATTTAGATATTTGATGTAATTGATAAATATACATGCATAGGTATCTGGCTCTCAGAAGCACAATGTTTTACAAGGGAATTTGACGCAAATATAGCAAAAAAGTCTAAACTGTAACCCAACGCAAAAAAAAATAATTAGGCTGAGCATCGAAAACCTCTTGGATTTTGACTACCACGTATGGATAATAAAGCTTGGACATATTTAATTTGGTTGACACCCAAAAATTGCTGTTCTACTGTATAAGAAAAGACGGGTAGAATGTTCCTTTTCAACCGAGTGCCGCTCCATAACCCTCCACAGGGATTGAA